TCACACAATTTACCAAAAAAAAAACCAAAATAAAAAAAAGAAACAACCAACACAAAAGAAAATTGTGCCATTGGCAATTTTCTGCCGCACCACTTCCTCTCTCCCTTTGTCAAAATGTATGCGTGTGTCCTTGGGTGGGTGGGTTTGTTGGCTGTAATTGGCGGCGGTGTAATGAGAATTTTTACCACAGGATAATTTAAAACTTGGGCCTTCGAATGGCTGCTGCTGCTGCTGCTATTGGTAAATTATCGCAGATATTAAAACTGCAAAATAAAAAAAACAATCACAAGATATTTAATTAAATGAGACTGCCACACAGATGAAAATGGGTAAAATAACTATTAAAAAACATACATGTACATGTACATCATATAAACTATGAAACAGAAGCTTGATAAGGGCATGAAATCTGAATGGAGCCGTTCAAATGGGATTGAACTGTTGAGGCCTCATTTGTACAGATTTAATTTTACTTTCTGGACAGCCTTCTGCTTCCTTCTGCTTGGTATGTACATACATACATACATACATACATACATACTTACATGTATCAAAGCCATCAGGAAAATAATCGATAAGTTATCGTTATTGCTCAACGACAAACAACGCTGTTTATATTGGGGCTTTGCGACGCACACAAAGACGAATTGAATGCATAACCAATGGCAGAACAACTAAATGAATAAATGCTAAAAAATTGATGCCATTTGGCTTAAGGGGCATTTCTGGCAAAGCAGCAGCTACGATGGTCTGACTCTGACTCTGACTGTGATTCTGACTGCGACTCTGACTATGAGGCGTGGAAAAATCAACGAAATGTTAAATAAGCAAAACGTGACTTTATTCACAAAATGATGAGGCCAGCACCAGGCGGGGTATCGTCGATGGGATGGGTTTCAGGTTGGGAGATGGGCCCAGAGATGGGCTGGTTGTTGGGTAACGTAACTCTGCCTACGTCTGGCATCGACCAGGACTTGGTCGAGCTTAACACCTTTGCCATTCACTGACGCTGCTTTTTATTGCTGTTGGCTTTAAGTGCTACTGGCAGCTGATGACGGCCTGAACAAAACAAAACAAAAAGCAGGAAGAGGCACAGAAAAAAACAACAAATAATAGTCCAAGCCAAAAATTGCTGACAGCATTTTTGGAAATTAACGTCGAAGGCTCTGCAGGAACAGGAACAGGAACAGGAGCAGGAGCAGGAACAAGAGCAGCGACAAGGCAAGTGCGTCTGACAGGCGTGGCATTAAAGCCGCCAAAAAGCCCACATTGGATGCTGGATATTGTCGGCGATGCCTTTTGACGTCGTCCGCAACCAAAGTTTGTCATAAAGTGTCAAAGTGAATTGAAAATTTCCATTAAGCTCTGCAAATCTACAGAATCCTCGGCCGACCGCAGAAACCGCGACAACAAAACCACACACCGAAAACGTTGCACCAACAATGTTGCAGCACAAAAACGGAAATAAAAGCCAAATAAATAGAAAAAACAAAAAAAAAATAGATGACAAGAAGGAATAAATAAAATATCAGCGCTTTCAAAAAGCGATATGTGCAAGTGAATCCAATGAAATCAATTATGAACATCAAACTCAGTGCTACAGAGTTTTGTGAACTGAACGGGGAGTACATACATTACGTATGCAGGCTTTAGATTTTATGCCAGGTAAATAAGTTAATCAGTTCACCTCTTAAGCCCACTTATTGTTGAGGAGATTTTAAAACTATGAAACTGTTCAATGTGAGTGTGTATTCGTTTGGGTTTTGTATTCAGGACTCTCTGCATTCGCTTGCTGGTGAAATGTTTCTTAAACGTTGCTTCAGAATCTCCAGAATCGCTTTAAAACATTCGAGTGGGGGGTCGCCGTTCGTCGTTCATTTCGTTTCGTTTGTTTTTGGTTTTTTTTTGTTTTTTTTCGTTTCTTGTTTTCTTCACACATTGAAAACAACAACGGGGAATACGACGATGACGCGAAGGCGGATGGAACAATGTTTTTGTCATTACGACTTTCTCTCGTTTCGTTTTTAGCTGCGTTTCTTTTTCGGCTGGATTGTCTGGCCGGGCCCTGCTGCTTCGTCCTTTCATAGAGCGATGGTGATAAGGTCCTTCGCCCCTTTGCCCCTCCATCTGCCGTTTGTGCTAACGGATTTGTCAAAGGCATTAAAACGAAATCTCGTGCAAACTGGGCATCAATCATGACGAGGAACACACGACACCACCCAAGTCCCATCACCATTACCAGCACTAGCACCAGCCCCAGCACCAGCACCAGCCCCAGCTCCTCCACCACCCTAGCCAACGCCATTGCCAGCGCCAACACCAACCCAGTCCCAGTCCCAATCCCAGTCAAACAATGCATACAAAAAAGGATTCGCCAAAAGAATCCATCCTACTCCTTGGCCAGCATGGAGCGCGGCCATTTTTTCTCGCTTCTCGTTTGCCTTTCGCTTGTTGAAGGAGCTTAACAATGCCCCGCCCCGGGCCAAGTCAAAGGCACAAAGCTGGCTGCGAGTGAAACGAATATGGAAAAACGGTTCTTTGAACCGGTTCAAGTGCCGGTTCGTTAAAGAAATTGGGTCTAGCCTAGAAACTCTGATCAATATTTGAAAATATATCGTTTTCAAACATTGTACTCCCATGGCCCATGGAAAATGTCTCTTGGCAGTTGCCGAGCAGCTGGTGCCATACAGGATACTCACTTCTCTTATACTTCTCATATTTTTATCTAATCACCAGTTTCTATTTATAATACATACCAATTGTATACGCTCAATATATGCAGCGTGTTGGTTGCAGCTTTGCTGATAAAGAAGCTCTCCGTATCCCCAAAGAATACTTCTTTAATTTATATTCTTATGTAAGCCATTTCTGATAGAGTAGCAAACTCCTGTCCAGATCTGACAAATTTTCTTTGACGTTTCAGTCACTTCCTCATGGATAATTGTAAATTGAGAAGCCTTCCCTATGTTGGCATCTCATCTCACCGAGTGGGGGGTTCGTTTCTCTCTTCCCAGTTTTCTGTTTGTGTGTGCTTCCTGCCTATGCATGTGTGCTAATTTCTGTTAACGAGGCTAATAGTTCAGGGTAGGGCGTTGATTGGGGCAGCTGGCACATGACAAAAGGAAGTGGGGAAACGAAACCGTTGTATTCTGATGTGTGTGTGTGTGTATGTGTAAACTATGCACTGGCAGGCGGCGCTGGCAGAGCCTAGCCATGTGAGATTGTCCACCCAAAGCCCACTTATCCTTCTTTTTCAAAGCCTCTCTGGGAGGGGATATGGGCGCATCCCTCAACCAATGCAATCTTCTCAAAGTAGACAAAATATTTGCTGAAATTTTAAGCATTGAAAGGTTGAAAGGTTCGACACTTTTGCCTAAAACACACACTGAGGCGAACAAGATGGAAAGAGTGCCAGGAAAAGAGACACAGGGCGAGTGCCAATGAGAGAAAAAGAGCCCAACAAAGGGGCGAAGCTTAGAAGCCATGAAGAAGATGAAGATGAATGGACGTTAAGCGCGGCGTTGAGGAATTAGGAACCGAGGATAAAGAGCCAAGGCGGACGACAAAAGATGATGACAATGATGATGATATAGAAGACGGCTGAGATGGCAATGGCAATGGCTATGGCTCTGAGGATGCTGATGATGGCCCCCAAAAGCCAAGGCCAAATAGTGCTGAAGGAAACACAGAGACGGAAAGGAGAGGAGAGATGGAAACGGAGACAGAGACAGAGAGCAACTGTCGGATATGCAAATGAGCCAATAAAAGTAATTTCAAATTAAATTAAATGAAATTGAACAGGCAAATATTGTAGTCCTATGGTGACAAAATATTCACTGATGCGCGGATACTGATTCGGATTCGGATTCTGATTCTAAATTTGTGTTTATTAATTTCTTGTGATTTCATTTCGTTCGAAAATTGTCAAATGAAATTAACCTTAAATTTTGAATGATGACAGGAACTGTGGGGAGGGGCGGGCTGTTGTTGATGCTAATGTTTGTGCCGCTTCATGGACACGCTTTGCCATATTACCACGCCTCCTTGTCTCTCTCTCTCTATCTCTCTCTCTTTGTCACTCCTGCTTTCGCTGGATCATTCGCTCATGGCGTTTGACATAAAAAGCATAATTGATTACATACACACACACACACATTATAGGACATACTCAGACAGGATACGATACGACAACCGCAGGACGCGCCCCACCGCATCTAACCACAAACCAAACGCCGCCTCCCCACCCCTCCTTGCAACCGACTGTTGGGCCATGCACAGGCCCCACCACGCACCGATCGGCTCGCTCTTCACTTTGCCTGTATTAGAGGCAGCTTATGACTTTATTCAATTAAGGCGTACTTAATGCGGAAAATTTGCTTTCATTTTGAACCGAAAACAATTGCATTTTCCTTTGGGGTTCCATTTTTTACATTTTCAGAATCCCTGGCGAGGGTCCATTTCTTTCCTTTAATTAAATTTAGATTTAAATAAAATTTAATTCAGGATTCGTTGTGAGAATACATTTTCTTACTATGGGCTTCGATTTATACATTTTCGGAATTCTTGCAGACAAAATTAACTTCTTAACTTCTTCTTTCTTTGCATTTAATTTATATTTAAATTAAATTTTCTTCACGATTCGTGGCATACATATTCAGAATTCCTCTAGAGGGAAATATCTAATATCCTTTTCCAGCATTTAAATTTAGTTTAAGTGTAGTTTTATACATTTTCAGAAATCCTGGAGAGGCGGCTACGATAAATGTACATTTAAATTATATTTCCTTCAGGGAATATTCCAGAAACAATGTAGGAAATTTGTCTACTTCTGACTAGAGAAAGACAGTATCGTCATTTCTGTATCGAAAACATTTTCGTACACAAAAATTAATGTCTTTTAGTTGAGAAAAAAAACTTAATATAAGCGAAAATTTATGTAACTAAAAATTTGGATATTTTGCGTGTTCATCCGAAAAAAAATTATAAAAAAAAAAACCTTTCTACGTGGACGACCAGCCCAGATCTACACTATTAGTACGTGACTGGAGGCTTCGGATCACTTGAAAGACGCGCAATGCCGGTCCCAGCTTAAAGCCGAATTTATTTATCACATCCTCGCGCGTGATCTGCATCAGCGAGGTGCCATCCACGTCCTGTGTGTTAAATGCCTGAGCTTCGTTCGGATAGAAACGGGCAAGATATGTTGTCACCTGCTCAACAGTCCAGGTGCACACCGGACTCATGGGCTCTGCATCCGTTGGTGGTTCTGGTGGCAGCTGAACACTGACAATAATGATTTCATCATCATCGCTGGCAGTGGGCACCGCCGCTTCCAATGGCTGCTGGTCCATGTTCTCCAGCGGCATTTCCGACTCGTCATTTGGTTCTCCCTCGGGGAGAGCTCCTTCGGCCTGATTTTCTGGCCCATTTTCATCCAATTGTTCTTGTACAGGTTCATCCAGATTTAATTCTGGCTCTTCGTTGGTCTCCTCGTTGATCTCCTCTCCTACAAACGGCTCCATTGACGCATTAAGTTCATCCGTAGACAAACGATTTTTCTCGCCCTCACTCTCACTGTCGCCCTTGCCCACGACTTTCTCTTTTTTGAGTTTTTCCTCTTGCTTTGGTTCACCATTCTTGGCGGCTGGTTCTAGGGCTGTGGCGGCGACTGAGACTGAGTCTGCGTCTGCTTTTGTCGACTGCTGCTTCGATTCTTGCTGAAGTTTCGCCTGCTTGGTTGGTGGCGACTGCTCCTGACCAGCGGGATCCGACTGGGCGCGCCTCTTGCGGCCCGTGTGTGATTTGCGTCCAGAAACTTCACTGGCCGAATAGTTGTTATGGTTGTTAGTGCCGAACTCGCAGCCGTGGCATTTCCACTGGCTCTCGCCAAGACTAGAGGCGGCCAATGGCGGATCATGGCAATCGCGGTGGTACGAATATACGCACTCAGAGCAGATGGCCAGATCTTTGCCCTTAGTACCGCAAACGCGGCAGTAGCGGCAAGCCGGGCACTTGTACTTCTTGCGTGCAACGGCCAGGACATCGAACTTGAGCGGAAGGCAGTTAAAATGCCCTGGAAATGCATAAAAAAATACACAGATGTAGGAAAGTGTGCAGGCGAGCATTGAGTTGGATGGCGGGGGCACTTACACTTTTGCTGGCAGCTCTTGCATGCGAGAAAATTACTCTTGTGGCCAGAGCCACGCTTCACTTCCATTTTGCTGCACTTTTGGCACACATCGAACTGACGAAGCGGCTGGCCTGGCTGACCGAATTCCACATCTTGGGCATCACTAGTGGCGACTACTTCTGGCTTGGGCAGAGTCACCGCCACAGGCGGTGTAACTGGCACTGGCACTGGCACTGCGGCTGTGGCCGGAGCCGGCAAGTGCGACGCTTGCACAGTGGCATTCGCTGGCGTGGAGTTGCGGGCCCCACGTGAGGCATAATTGTCGGATGGATCGTAAACTTGCTTGGGCTTCTATTAGATGCGAAATGCAAATAAAATGCAAAACTTGTCAGCACGAGGGGTTTCTGGCAAATCGGCGGGAAATGTAACCTACCTTGACGCGTCCTGTGGTGCGAACGGCAGCAGCCGCTGAGGCGGTACCTACAGTTGCAGCAGCATCGTTGCTGTTGCTGCCAGTGCTTGAATTCAAGTTGCTAGTGGCACTGGCACTGTTCTCTTTGTCCTCATCCTTGGAACGCTTCATCTTCTCCGGCAAATTGCTTTAAAAGTCTGCAGAACTATACGAAAATGTTGTTACTTGCGCGCTCGGTTGCTCAGTGTTACCGTTTGTGATTAAGGAAAATACCAGCTTAGGATTTGATCCACTAGCCTGACGTAGTTATCCCCGAAATATTTAAATTGCACCATTCACTTTAATCTGGGAGTTGGAGTTGGAGAAAAGCCTATTGCGGGTTAATATCTAATGTAGAATGTTCATTTGACACATGCTGTTGAATCATTTACTTGAATGCGTTAGGGTATTTTTTGCCACGCGTTAGTGCATTTGGGGTGTTCGTACGTATGCGCTCAAAATGAAATATAATCATACCCCTATTGTGTTTTCATGCCTGAACGAATATTCTGTACGCAAACTCCTGATCCTGGAGCATCGACGAGTCCAATGCCATACAACGCGATAAGAAAAATATAGTCTCAATAGATTGCTAGTCTAGCTGAATTTGAATGTATTAAAATATTATTTATAAAGCTAGCTAAGGTAGGCGATCGATCTCGTAGGGGTGGGAGAGCAGTTTGAGGGATTGCTTAGCCAAGTTGAAATGGCCAAACATCTACATGGCCCAGGCCATGAACAGCCGCCGAGCTAGAGCACCCCAAAAGTATTTTAACAAAGCTGGAGACATTTGTTACCACCAAGTATTTCTATGTGCTAACACAGTGAATAAAATGAAACATTGAAATGTCAAATAAATCGGTAGTTCTTAATTCAAGCCAACAAATGTAAATGCCTGTTTCCCTTAGGGAATACATATGTATATTTAAAACTTATTTAAAACCATTCACTAACTGCAAAATCACGTCCGAAATGCTCTCCTTTGAATGGTGGTGAGTGCCGTTAGATATGCTTTTCCCCCGACACTCGTCTGTTCTCTTTTGGCCAGGCCGGCTCATGCATAGTTTAAATCACGTCAAAAAAATCCTATCCAGGGAGCGTGGCAGGCCCTTTCGGACCGGAAGTTGCGCGCCAACAGGAAGTGACCCCAAACTGAGAAAGAGTCTTTGACAATGGCTGTGCGCGTGTGTGTGTGTGTGCTGACTGAGTTTGAGTTTATGCTTAGCAAAATGTTTTAATTATAACGAAATTTTATAGAACAATTTGTTGTTGTTGTCAAGGTGATGGGGGAGTTTGGCATTGGCCTGCTTTTAAAAAGTGCGAGCAAGAGCCTAGGCATTTCGGGCTGTAAGCGGGTAACATTAATGTGAAAACAAAACAAAAAAAACTTTCTCCACATAGTTGGTTGAAAACTGTATGCCCTGCTGGAGCGCTTTCTGCTGTTGCTTCTGCTGCTACATCCATCCGGGCATGGGCGAAAACGCGCGTGCCTGTCTATATTTTCATTTTCATTTTGTGCTTATGTGTGTGTATAAATATGCACACAGACCCATGTGTGTGGGCGAGAAACATTGGACCATGGGCATGTTAAACAACAAGCCCGCACACACACATACATACGCAGATGAGTTGACAATACGAGTGGCAATTATTTAACTTGATTTATTTGCTTCAGTCAACATGTGAAGAGGCGCCAAGGGCGACCGAAGGGTCTGTCTAAAAGGGCGTGGTCCGGGCACGGCCAGAAGTGGCATAATGAAGCGGCCGGGCAAATTTAATTAGAGCATCCTCCTTCAGGCATCTCTGCCTCTGTCTGTTCCCTCTGGTCACTTCACCTGAGCCAATGCCTATGCTGCAGCGAAACAGTCGCAGGCCGAGGACAGACCCGAGGACAGAAAACTTAACTTTAATGACAAAACAAACCAATTCTCTGCAAGCCTCTCGACAGTCGGGTCTGGTCTGTTCTGGTCTGGCTAAAACAGCAACAGACTAGAACGCAGCCTGCCGTTGTTGCAGCCGACTTCTTTGATACACTTTCTATTCAAGTACTGAATTATCTGTGTGTCCACACTGTCCTTTAGTCATTTAATTATTATACAATAATGCAGTTGAGTTCTTTCTTTATGTGCTCGGAATTTTCTTCTCCTGTGCTGCCAACAGGCGGGTGTATGCCTTCTGTGAGGGTATGTATGTATGCATGTACTCCTAACAACATCACTATGACAACCATTTTGGTCAAGTGTCTCATTTTGTGCACGAGCCAAACAAGCCCCACTGAGTGGAGAGTGGGAGAGTAGGAGTGTGGCAGAGAGAGAGCCAGAGAAAAGCTGCAGCTTCTTTTCAGCTTTCTGTCAATAAAAAAAAAAAAACCAAACTTGAGCTGCAAAAATGTGCAAGCCTGTGCTTCACAGCAGGCAAGTGGATCGGGGATGGAGAGATGGAAAGATGAGGCGAAGGGGCACCGGGGCACAGGGGCACAGAACCGAGCAGCGATAACAAGTTCCACGCGAACGGGTCCTGTCCAAGCGGAAACGAGTAAAACTGCGCCTCATCATAACAAGTTATGAAAGGAAGAAATTGCAATTCGCATTAAAAAGAAAAATATTGTAAACAAGTAAAATGGATGGGATGGTGCCATAAGATGGCTATGGAATGGCATGGAATGAAATGAAGAAAAACTTAGGCAGTCGGATGGGATGGCTGGGAGACACACAGAGAGAGAGAGAGAGATGGTGGAAAGGGGTAACTAAACAGGACGGCATCAAGTGGGTATCAAATGGCCCTGGCATTAAGCCATTAATGTCAGTCTCCCGCTCGAGCAAGTTAAGAAAAGTGCTTTAAAGTACGTAAGCAAAGATGAAAATATGATTTCGAAATACATTGAAGATGCGGCCTGGATGGCATAACGATACGGGCTAGCGATGCTGGAGGCACACACAACATAGAGATATGATGGTGTGGAGGAGATAGAGGACAACAATGGGCCTCGAAGATAGCAATATTGTGGGCATGGGGATACTATGTTACGTTCCCATTTCCTAATCATTTACTGGAAGAGGTACGCGTACAGAATGAGTCAAATGGGTTTTAAAATAACCAAATGCAATATTTGGGATTAAGGTAATGAAAAATCCTGCCCTCCAGCTTGCTCTTTCATATTCCAGCACATCATTTAAACTCCGTTAACAGACCCGGACAGACATAAACTCTTCATGGGCTTGTTGAGCCGCATCGAATGGGGGGCAATGGAAATGGCAATAACCCGGCACATAGAAACTCGGGATAATCTTGTACAAGATAATCAATTCTCCAGCTCGTAATTTGTCACTGGGACGGCCTGGAAACGCTTTAAACAGCTTATAAATACAAAAGAAATGAAACATGGCTGCCGCACAGTGCGTATGAGCAATAAATCGTGCACTCGCACACACTCAGACCCCGCACATTTGCTATGTTGCTCGCAGATGAAAAAGATCCCAAGGAAAAATCCAAATAAGTAGGCACAACAGACAAAAAAAAAGAAGAACAGAAGCAGCCCGAAGATAAAACACAAAAGTCAAAGAAATGGGCAGAGAAGGCAGGAAAAACAAGGCAACACACAAATCACAGACAACAGCTGTGACAGAAATCAACTGCCAAGGCGAAGGCGAAGGCGAATGCGAATGCGAAATTGATGTGGCGGTGGAAGAATGCAGGACGAAGGGCAGACAGTGTGGAGACGGTGCAAAGAGGGTGCCAGATGAGACCATGTAGCAGGTTGACGACTGTCACCTGTGAGTGTGCAAATTGCAGCACACAAAAATGCAGAGCAACAACCACAGCGAACAGCGAACAGCCAACAGCCAACTGCCGACAAGGCCACGCAAGGGAGCTGCCTACACACACACACACACACACACACACACACACACTAAGTCAAGGGCTTTTGAGGGGGTTAGGATGGGAGACTAAGCAATAAGTAGACAATGAGTTAAAAGCGAAAATCTAGCCTCGGTCCCACTGTGTCCCACACTGTGCTCACATGTACATATCCTAAAAAAAGAAAGCACAGAAAAGTAGGAAACCTTAAAGATCCAAAAGCAAGGACAATGCTCATCTAGCAGCCCAAGCAGCCCAAGCAGGGGACACCGCCTGTACCCCCCCCCCGCTCGCTTGGGTTGGTTTAAGGAAAGTGGCCATAAAAAAAGGCAAAAATATCATGCGACTGAGACAGGGACTAGAATGAAACAAATGCGACTGCAAATCGAAAATTTACACTCGCAAAAATACGAGTATTGAACAATTTTGTTGTATATTTACTGGCATTCACATATATTTAACAAATAAATTGACTCATAAATATTTAAGCTCTTTAAATTAATTGTTATGTCAAGCCATTGATTGATACATTAAAGCAAACAAAAAAACACTGCCAAGAAATGCATTGAACGGGTGTAACTTGTTCATCTCAGTGTTCGTACAGTTGCCTGGCAATTGATCACTGCACTGACTATTTATAGGGGTATTCTTTTGTGTGACCATGGAGATAGTCGTCTGTATATATGCACGAATATACATGTGTGCATATAAATGTACCACACACACTCGCACTCATGCGGACATGTGCGTGTGGGCGGGCCAATAATGCTGCTCAATTTGAAATGTTGATGTCTGATGATTATGTTGATGACGCAGCACCATTTGGAGCATCTGAGCTTTGAGCCAGTACGTTCCGTGCATGGCTCAGAGCCCCAGAGCCTTCTGTCTCTCATCGCCACTTGAGTCGCTGGAGTCGTCGATGGCACAGGAGGGGGCTGGGGCTGGGGCAGCCAAATAGAAATGCAAGGCACATTGTTAACCCCACTTCATTGAAAATGCTAATCGCACTCATTACACGAAATATGCATGTAATAATAGCAAAATCAGCAGCAGCCGCAACAGCAGCAGCCAGCCAGCCAGCCAGCCCCGGACAACTCGTACTCGCAGGAGTGGTGAAGCGGGGAGTATCTGCTCCAGCGTTGCTGCCGAGCATGCCAATGAGAGCTGAAAACTGGAAGGATGATGTCGCTGATGATACTAATGAAATTGTTGCTTTAGCTGTTGTTGTTTCTCTCCAGGCTGTCTCGGAGCATGAGTACTCGCAATTCTGTTCATTCTGTTGATTCTGTTCGGGACAAGAGAATTTCTATGGAATACATTTTTAAGGTAATTCCTTGCGTTTGATTATAATGCAATTTAAATACAAGCA